AAATCAGATTTGAACACACGCATGCGTGTGCGTAGTATTGAATGATTGTTTGGTTGCAATGCATGTGTAATGCGGTTTAGTCAGCATAGTCACTTGATTGGTATTACCTTAACCCATTCTCGTGCATTGCCATTCAAATGAAATGCAATTTGAAGGCGATATTCGAGAAGATATCTTTGAGACTCACATAAACTTACATACTGTGGAAAATCTATAGAGTTTTGAAAAGTATTGAACAAAATGCATTGCGAAGTTTTTGCTTTATATGACACTAACTAATTCACCCAGACGAGAAGTTAATAGAAAGAAAAACTTTCATACAGATGAATAAGGACTTAGAAGTGAACGCGATTTCCTTGCTAAATCATATTGATCCTTCATATAAGGACGCACTGTGGTGAAAACTACACCGGTTTAAAAAATATGATATTTCTAACAATGTTTCGTAACGAAACACATACGAACTCATTTTCGCTGAAATGCCTCAGTTTTATGTGCTAGGTTTTAAGAGATTTGATTCAACATCAACTGTTGCATCTAAAGTAAAGTCAATGTGATTTTCAAAACCTGATATGTCGACTAGTTTAATAAGATTTGCTTCGAACTCTTTTAATCAGATAGATAACAATTTTATCAGTTTTTTTTTATTTTTAAAAAAACTCTCCTTTTCTATATCCCTGTTATTGTGCTTTTACCGTAAAAATAAGCTAAAATATTTAACGCTTTTTCAATTTCATAGGCATAAACTTATTGCAATTTACCCAAAGTCCCAACAATGTCTTTCAACCTTGGTAAGCACTCTAAGAAACTTGCCTGTTAACAAATATGATACGTTAAATAGTATGCATAATCGTTTCCCCTTAAATATCATGGCGGATAGCCAGTGCTCGGCGTTGAAGTAACTAACAAAAAATTAGGATGGAGTCATCAGAAAACATCAAAATAAGTCCAGCTACTTTGCAGACAATATCTCCAGTTGCGTTGGGTGTGACATGCGATTTTCGACAAATTATCTTTGTTGAAATAGTTGCTGTAATAATTCGAATGAAAATATATATATATATATATATATATATATATAAGGCTTTTCGGCAGGTAAAATGAATTCATTAGATGTCAACTGGCTTCTCAGTATCTCTGAGTTTCCNGAGATACTGAGAAGCCAGTTGACATCTAATGAATTCATTTTACCTGCCGAAAAGCCTTATATATATATATATATATATATATATATATTTCAAATGACAGGCTTCATGATATTTATCATTAGTCCTAAGTTGACTTCGGCTTTTAAAAGGGAGAGAATATATATATATATATATATATATATATAAGGCTTTTCGGCAGGTAAAATGAATTCATTAGATGTCAACTGGCTTCTCAGTATCTCTGAGTTTCCATTACTAACTTTAGAACTGGACACCGAATCATGTGGATATTCTCCACTTCTTACTGCAGGTCACTTAGGAGCATATTGGTTGAGAGTACATTCCTATTCTGTGAAGGTGCTTCGCCAGGGAATCATATCTTGTAAGTAGTCTAAACTCAGCAACGGCTTGGATTTTTGGCCAGTCGACCACGTCGAAGAGTGTCGCTGTCCATTGTTTCTCCTTTGTTTGAGCATTAAGTTCGTTACATCTTGTGATCTTGAATTTTCTCTTAATTAAGGTTTACACTGTGTGGAAAGACATTGGTTTAGGTATATTTAAATCATTTTCTTGAGATTTGGATTTGTCTTCATAAGTATATTATGCCAGAATAAGTCTTTAATTACAATTGAATTTTCATTTTCTAGAATTTAAATGCAGTTAACTTTTAATATTCTAACTGATCATTTGTTAAAATTAAATGTGCCCAAAATTACTTTATTTCCATAATAACGTACGCAAATATTCTCTTTTGATAACGAACCAGTATAACGGCAAAAAATGTGCATAGGTATTTGTTTTTTCAACATTAAATTTTGATGAATTGATTCGGACGATAGTGATTTAATAAATTATGGTAGTAAAAAAATTTTTTATTCTTGTCATCTGTAGTTTTTTTGAATATAATTAATCATCTCAAAAATTCAATACCATTAGTCCAGTCAGTCTTATACCTACATAAGTTTATAATCCATGTAGATATTGCACGAATTGAACGGAAAGCTATTTGGTCTGAACAAAAGAAACATTTTTAACCACAAAATGAAAATGGTGCTACCTATCTATCAGAGAAAATCATTTGTTCTTTGTTTGGAAACATAGCAAAGGATTCAATTTTAATTAGTGATGCTTCAAATGTAAGCACAGTTAACCAAGATTCAAATTAATATCTTGATTTATGAATCTGTAGTTATGAGCATGTAATGTTAGAGAAAAGTTTGAATTAGATTTGTATTTCGTGTCTTCCATAAGTCAAGAAGGATTTATTTTAAATAAGCTTCTGCCCAAAATTACATCCCTTCCCAAAAAATGATTGCATTTAAAAGTTCTTTTTTGACATTATTTCAAAAAAACAGATAATTATGCATAAATATTTGTTTATTCTACAGTTGGTAAATTGCTTAAGTTTGACTCAGACGTTTAATATATGATTAACTGTGATGGAAATAAAACGGCCTATGAAATTCATATCAAATTCAATAATTTATCATTAAAAAGACAAAAAGCTTTATTGAACAAAATATGGCATTTAAGGATCAGAAAAAAGACACTGTCTCAGGTATATTAGATTATAACATTCTCCTTAAAATATATTTGGTATCCATGGTCAGGACTCTAGGCTTATTCAAAAGCAATTATTTACAGTCATAGTAGGCAAATTTGGTCCACTACGTGTCATACTTTACTGACTTATTCAAGACTATTTATTTGTTCCCCTAACCGCTGAACACATTAATAATTGAAAAAAAGTATTATAGAGTTTATATAAGTAGAAGCATAATAAGCGGCATCAACATACTATGAGGAAATGAACCACACGTGACGCTTTGTGCTTGCTAGAGTGAATGCCGTGGAAATAAAATGTTGGATCTTAACATGCAAGGCCTATTTTTAAAATAGGGTGAACTGGACATGGTCTTCAATAATCCTAAAGAGATTTTCCAAAATAATGCCATAGTCTAAGCTAAATTGGGAGTCAATATTGAAGTATTCTAGCAAGCGTCAGAAAATTTAATTGTCAAGTGTAATTTCTAGTCGAACTCGATTTAAATGTAAATAGAGACTAAATTTAGCACATAAAGCGTAATTTCTAATGCTACAAAATGTAGAATATTTAATAGTGTTTTGATAAATGAATCTCAGAACTTCGATCTAATGAATTATAATCGGGATGAAGGTTGATCATTCAATTTGCCTATAACTTAATTTATTCACAGAATTTGATACATCTGATATTACACTTTATTTTATAACAGGCTTATTCAAAGTTTTGGTCACAAAAAATGACAAAGAGGAAAAACTCAATTGACGGATTGGGGACGAAGTCGGAATCGTCTTCTTCCAATACAAAGACATCTAATAATTCATTAAAAGAATTCTTTTCTATTTTTTTAGAAGGCAAGCATATTTATTGTTCTCTTTTCCAAATTCAAAATCAATCTTCATTTCTTTTGCACAATTATAGATTATTGCGATATCCACCACTCGGGTTTAGAAGACGGGCACCAGCAAATGAAAGAGATGCTAGGTAGTGCATTTTCATGTTTGTTCGATTAAATTTCCTCGAAAATAATTTGTTTGCATCAACAAAATTTTGTTGGCTTAATCTCTTAAACAAATCATTGTCACTGTTTAGATGATATGAATAAAGTATTAGAGAGTAACTTGACTTTGCCTGCAATGCCAAAACAGAGCTCCGCGACACCAAATGAGAGTACCTCTAACATCCCTCGAAATAATGTGCAAGTTTTACCTTCAAATGTGAGCACAAATTTAACTTATCCTAGGTATGTCACTTGTTTTGAAAATATGAATATATTAAATCCACCTAATTGGGGTTAAGTTTAAAATGAATGAAAACAATGTGGCTTTAAATTTTGCCGCTATTTTAGCAGATATTTGCATTCATGAGATGATAGCATGTTTACTTGTAATATGTTAAATTCGGGTAATTGAATTAATTCTCAGACTATAAGCTTTTTCGGCCCATGCGATTTTCCTTCCATTTAATAGAGAACGCAGTGTTGTGTCTAACTGGTGGACACAGTCAAATGCTTTCGAGGAGGAAAATAGGACTCATTACCAAACTGCCAACTCTGCAGTAGATAATTTTTATTGCACCAGCTGCAGTTTTAGATCCAAAGACAGAAATGAAATTCGAATCCACTTCCAGGCAGTTCACGAAGAGAAAACAAATTTGGTAACTTCCTTAGATATGTTAGTTTGCAAAACTTACGTTTCCAACACTTGATTAAAATGAAAATTTTGATGAAACCTTTTTGATCATTTCCATCTCTTACCCCATAGTTAAAATCATTTCCATGTTTAATTTCGAAAAAGATTTAGTTTAGAAATGTAATTGCAGGTGTTAATATTTTAGGACATTTCACGAATTGTTGATTTGTTGGCTTAGCATAGGTTAACGTATATATTTAGTTATTAAAGATCGATCTCAAACGACAGTTTGAAAGGATTTGATTATTATTCAGGCAAATTTGCTTGACGAGAATTTTAATAAAAGTGCTTTGGGTTGCACATAGCCATATGTAAACTGGTTGCTTTATTTTGTTTCTTATACAATTGTTCTTAAATGTATTCGATGTAGCGCGTTCATGTTCACGGTTCTTTGCTGCGTTCGCTGTGCCATATCCCGATAAATATTCAAATAATATTTTTCGCCTTCATCATAATCCGGTTATTATTGCATTGGGGTACGTATATCTTGGATAAAGTTGTTCCGCTTTAGTAGTGATGAAGCTTTGATTATCCGAAGTTTTCAAAGTGAAATTTGTTAACCTGAAAGGTATCTGATACAAGCTTGATTTCCCTATGATTTGATTTTCCATATTACATATATTGCTCCAAGTAGAACAACTACCAACTATAGATAGGACGTTAAATGAGCCTGTTATACATATATTTTTGATTTTTTAGCTCCCTTGATTAAGTCCAATTTTATTGTGGACAATAATCTTCCAACTAAACATGGTCTTTTAGATGAAGTTATTGAGAGCATCGCGAAATTGAGTATAAAAACCTCAAACAAAGAAAAGCGCTTCACTTGTGATGAATGCAAAAAAAACCTTTAGATATAAAAGCCAATTGGACACTCACAAACGTAGACATAGAGGCGTAAAATCGTTTAAATGTGAATTATGTGGAAATCATTTTTTTGCAAAATTTGAACGGAATTCTGACAGTGATGAAAGACCGTGCAAATGCAGAAAATGCGGAAAAACATTTACACGTCAATCAAATTTAACTAGGCCCTTCAAATGTGGAGAATGCAAACAAGCATTCAAACGTAAACAAAATTTTACTGTACATATCCGTTCCCATACGGGTGAAAAACAATACATATGTGGTGAATGTAATAAAGGATTTGCAGTTAAATCAAATTTGAAAAAACACGTCCGTGGGCATACAGGTGAAAGACCAAACAGACGCAAAGTATGTGGAAAGGGATATAAAGAGCAAGGCCACATGAGAAAACGCATGCGTTGCCATATTCGAGATGATCAATTCAAATGCAGGGTATGTGGAATGCGATTTTCTAATATGGTTGATTGGGGTTTTCACGAAGAGACGCATAACAGTGAAACTCAATAAAGTTTTGAAGTGCATGAACCGAGTTGCATTGCAAAGGTTTTGTTTTATGTGGCGCCAACAGAAAGAACATCCAGAAATGAAGGTGGCAGAAGGAATAACTTTCAAAACGATATTTTAATTCATGCAAATGAACACATGGAGATCAATATTTACTTAGATTTAATGAAAATGGACAATGACTTCACAGCAATTTCAATTGGAATTCTCCAATTTGATTTCAACTTCATCTATCAATGTGTTTCGTTTTTCTTATCTAATTAAATCCTTTTATTTTCAATGTAGTGTTATAATCACTGCGTGGGTTATCAAGTGACAGCAAGCATTGAGAAAAGAGGGATACAACTATATAATTCTGATTTAAAGTAAAAAATTAATTGTTAAATAGACGAGAATAACTAATAATGTTTAAATAGAAATTTACGCTGTCCAACTATGAGTCAAGTAGTTACGTTTGGCAGGCGTTTTAGGCCACAAATCACAGCAAAGCAACAAGTAGCCAATCCCCCTTTTCTTATGGCTGTATACATCGGATTCGAATCAGCACGTGACTTAGTATAAAGAGAACATAATCAAAAGGATACAAAGATTGGTATGAAGCATGACATGCTAAATCGAACAATGATCTTACAGAGTCATGCGTGAAAACAATCTCTCCAAATTTAACCTTTTATACACTGGCCTAAACAGGGAGCTGCCGCAATCTTCTCTATTTTCAACATCTTCGTCAATGACATAGGCGATCTGAAAACAGAAAGCCACTGTCACTAATTGCCTACTTTATGCAAATGATCATAATCTATGGTATTCAGTCCCAAGAAAAACGCTCAGAAGAAGTTGGGTTGTTTACATTATTCTACACTTAAACTATTAGTAAACTGGTGTGGCAACAACGGTATGGCTGTTAGCAGCTTAAAAAACTGCCTTCCAAGCATTTTATTAACCCACTAGAACATAAATCAGCATTTAAGGTACAAGGACATTTCTCTAGAGATAAATCAACGAGGTCACTTATCACGGAGTGACGTTTAATGTAAAGCTCACAGGAACACGTCACATTGCTAAAGTGGCGTAACGCGTCTCCATACGACTAAGGGTACGGAAGTGTCTTACTGGTATCGTATGGGGCAATGCACGCTCAATCCTTAAAACCACGTTCAGGATGTTTGTTCAACCAATTGAGGTTTTTCTTTGACGTTTTACGGATTTGTTTGAAAAATAATTTCACAAGATTTTTATATTGTAAAGAATATTATAATAAAAATCTGTTTTCACACAAATTTTGAAGACCAAATATCACTGTCCACTAATATTTGTATATAAGGAGGCATAATCCAACATTGATGGAAACACATCTATCAGTTAATATATTGCTAATTTTAATCAACTCATGTACTCCTTTGTGATTGCAGCCTAGCACATCAGAAAAGGAGTTTTTAATAAAGTGCAGAGTTTGATTAATGTGTAATAGTATTCAAATGTATTAATTACTATTATTATTCAATATAGTAGTTGTTTTCGAACAAAATATCACTGCTTTACGATACGATTGGTCGATTGTGGTAAAGTTAAACGAATCATCAATCATTTTCGAAGATGCTGAAGTTTCTAGATTTTTTAGCTTTGGTTCGCATATATGTCTTCCTGTTCATCGAGGATGACGGCGACAGAAGATGCAGATACATACTCATATAGAAACCTTCACCTATTACCGCAAAAAATTTCCCTTTAATGGTTTAATGATTAAAAGTGATTTAATCTTAATTCTGTTGCCTACTGAAACATTTCATATATTTAAATTTATAATCAAGAAAGGAATTTGAAACAATTAATTGGCCTTTCAAATATTAGGACTTTCCTATTTTTTACTTTTATGCTTCAATGATTTACATTCCGACTTGCATTTAAAATGTTATTTTCGTAATTGTAATTAGTTTTGTGTCGATTGCTTTAAAAGTGCTACCTTTTCACTGCTTTATTTGTTCTTCCAAATAGGTTGATTAATTGGGTCAACATTAGCAAGCAAGTCATTCTTATTGTTGTCACCTTCTTCTACTCATGTTTTTTGTTACCTCGATACAAATAAACGCATTTATTAATTTAATTTAGTTCAATTTGTAATCGCTGCGTGGATTATCATGTAACTACAGCAATTCGGAATAAAAACACATTTTACTTCTATCTTGGTTTACAATTTTGTCAATTGTTTAGTAAAGTTAATTCGAAAATTATGCCTACTAACTATGAGTTTAATTTGGAGGGCTTGGCTACAATGGATTCATAACAGAAATTGGATAACATCAGAAAATATAATGAAAATTTAGTGTTCATGCAATTTTAATTTATGCCCATTAATATGATTGCATTTATTCAAAAGGGAAAAAATATTATATTGTTCTATTATGCCACGATGAAGACAAACACAATTGGAATCTTCATTTACTTAAATACGAAACTACGAACAGCAGAATTAGGTATGGCGCAAGTCGCGATAAATCTGTCGAGTTGCAGAAGCCTTAATGAAGTTAAATCGGATTTACCATACTCTAGAATTTGTAAGAAAATGAAGTATCATTGTGGAACGATGGAGTCAAGCTAATTGATGTGCACAACTTTGAGCTTAATCTAATGCTTCTTAATGACTCACCACGTTAGAAAATATACTAGATAACGAATCGTGATAGGTCTCAAATAACAACTAAAAAGGAAATTGATGAGCACGGTTAAAACACAAACATCTAATGCATGTTGACAGCGAGTAGAGAAACAATGAGCCAGTGCATAAAATGACACCTTGTATTTGAACAATTGACAAATTCAATTTATTTTTAAAACCACTCTTGAGCGTGTTAAGATAACCTTTACTAACGATTAGTGGAATCCACTGTGCTCGAGAAATGCCTTAATTTCTGGAGTACCATTCATCATCTGATCTGTTAAGGTACCCGGTTGAGAGATATCGAAGCAACATAAAGATGAACTAAGTTAAGTGGAATTGGGAAATTTGAATCTGTTATTACCGGTTCACAGAGCAACCACATAAAGTTGACGTAAATCGGGAACAACGGACTTGCATAGTATTCCCATTAAGTCTTCTATGTATAAATATTTTCTACATATACAAATATAGTTATACAAATAAAGTGACACTTATTAAATTCTCAGAAACTAGTTAGAGTAATGCATGATTTTGCGTTGTGCCTCTACCCCCTAACCTTCCGAATGTTGATAAAATGTAGAAACATGACATCTAGTTTTATAAAAATATAGGCATTTTGTCAAACTTGTGACATTTATAATGAAATGTTCCGTGCACTTACCCTAATTCCAATGGTGCTGCTGTTAAACTCAGATTTACAAAAGCAGACATTTTAACGTTTTGTTTATATCTACAATGTGCAGCAAATAACGGATTTATTTCATATTTGCCCTTTAAAGTTGTAATTCGATAATCTTTGAAAAAATCAAGAATTTATCCAGGCAAAGTTTAGTGCATTTAAAGGTTTATGCACAATATACAGCATAACTATCAATGCTCTTTGTAATATCATTTGCACACTAGGTGGAGGTTTACCAATCAATTGGAGGGGAATTTGATAAACGAGTTAGGTAAAAAGTGGTAGCTGCATAATTCCAACTTTAGGAATTCCCGAAATTAAGCGACTAAATGATTGCTTGATCTTGATTTGACCTATCATTTTTAAAGTCAATTCGCATGTTAATTTTAAGGGGATAACACTTGATAGTATTTGACACGCACGAATTGCACACTTGTAACTCCCGTGCCTTTTGATTCCATTTAATTAAAATTAAGTTAGATTCTCTTGAATAATATTTTTGAAGAAAGTTAAAATTTCTTAGTATTTTTTTCTTCAAAACCGTAACAGAGTTTCAATAATAATTATAGGTAAAATTTTGTATTATTTATCCAGAAAAAATTTTTATTTCTATTCTTATGCGACGAAGCCCCATAAATCAATTAATTCTCTTATTCACAAAACGTAAGACATAATGATGTCTCTAAAATGGTTTATTTCCGCAGTTAAACTGATTTATTCACATAAATCTATATTAAGCATTTACCAATTGGTATGCATCAACTATCTGCAAAAGAAAACGAATAGATATTTGGGTATTTGTTTTTATTACATTTCAATTCATGGCCACAATTGGTCTTAATTATGATGCATTAATTTAAATTTACAATTTCTAATATATCAGAATATATGATAATGTTTGTAACTCTAACCCTCTCAGTTTGTAAATCATGTGAACATTAATAATTGTTGAATTTCAAATGAGAATCTTGATATAGTTGTTTGGTCAAACTTACACTACTGTTATGCTAACGCCATATGCTTTGGTTTCGAAGTTTAATCCTCATTTAAGTTAGACATTTAATTCATTTGTGACTATAATTCGATTATCTTTTTAAGTGCAAGCGCCTTATATTTTCAAACGTTTTTTTCATTTATCTCTTCGATCGTGAATGCTTTGCGTAGATTAACGTCCCATATCGATTCATCATATGCTTCTAGTTTTATTTTGTGTGTTTGTTTCGCCATAAATCGCAGTACATGTGGTGATGTTTATCTAATCCCAATCACTAATACTTACTTAATTTTTATTCATCGATTATGCTATTAACCTAATTTCTTGTTTATTATTTCAGGCACTTATTAGTTATTTTTAAAAAAAACGCGAAATCTTCTCGACCTCTTGGTTAAAATGAGGCTTACACATTTCTCAGATTCATCTAAGATATACGGACTTCTTTTGTTTGAACTTTATAAAACTTAGCCGTTCATTTGAGAAGAGCTAAACAGTTCATATGATCTTGGTTAAGAAAATATATTTCTTTTTTTGGGTTTCTTAATTTATTCTCTTCATATGATACAGTTTCAAACCTTTTCTCATCAAAATATAAACTGTTCATATGTAATAAAATTGATGGAAATCCCTCTATCATTCAATTTATGCAACACTTATTGTAAATGATGCGTCTTCATTCGATTTCGTTTGCTTACATAAAAGTTTATTTGTTTTAAGCTAAAATTATTCGTCGAACTTAAATTTTCTGTTGTGTTCACGAGTCTTTATTTCCACTAACCTTTCAATTTGTCTCATATTATGAATTTTTACACATATCCCGTATGCGAATTTCTATTTAAAATATGAGTTCTCATCCATAACCTTTGTATGTTTTAGACATATCCTAATCAAGCCAAATAGTATTAGATTTAGCAATTGTCACAGTCATATGAAGCCTCTATTTGTTCTAGAATTGGATAAAACTGGCAAAGAATGCAATGGAATTAGCAAATATGGCAGTGCAAGTTAGTCCTAGTTTTTGATTTATTTTTTAACACCAGACAGTGCTTCCGTACGATATAAAGAAAAGCGGATTTAATTTTATTACCTTTTTTGCTCTTTAATGCTGGTATTTAAATTTTTTAAAATTACAAAGATAAAGTTGAATGTTCTTACCGTTTCTAATACTTATTGGAATACATGCGCAAAGTAAAAAATCAAAACTCACATTAAAATTGTCGTTAA